GGATACATACATACATAAGTAGGTAGACAAATACATAAATAAATAGGCAGACATAAATGTATAGATAGTTTTTACACCGTGTGTGTGTTTGATCTGATTTATACAAAATTCAAAACAAGATGTTAATATACGCTTGATCATTACTTTCTTTCCCACACAAGACAGAAGCACATCTTACATGAACTCACTTATTTCCCAGGAGGAAGTCTCCAGGCGGCAAATCGTATATGTATATTATGACAGCAGGAATAACAACGGATGTTATACTCATCAAATAGAGCCACACTTTACCTGGAAGAAAAAAGTAATGTTTATTGACGATTTTCAAAATATTGGAAGTTGTTAGTAGTAATACGATATCAAGAAATCCTTTGATTTTGGCCTATATAATTTTTCTCGAAGATTTGAAGGAATCGAAGAAATGCTTTTGATGTACATTAGACGAGTTTACCCTCCAACACTCATTTCGTTTTCTATCCTTTATTATTCACAGAAAACGTCAAATCTTTTCACCACATACATTTCGGTTCTTACACAATTCAATGTTATTTTTGTATCGCTATATATTTTTTTTCTTACACAATCAATGCCTTTTATCCTTTCACTTGTTAAAATGGTACCGTTATATGCACATGACAGCTTAAAGTATACAAGAGGAGGATAATAGCAGCAATAACAAATACTATAAGAAAATTTAAATAAAAAACAATAAAAGTACCAAAACAATAAAAGGAAAATTGAAATAAAAATAAAAAATACATAACAAAACATATAAAACAGCAATAACAGTAATGGATTAATGACCTTAATAATAACTTCGAATCCAGTCTTCAAACTCAATCTCTTCTCTTTCCACACAGGTACTCTTTATCAATTTCTCTCCCTCCACACTAACAGCATATGCAAATTACCCGCTCTCTCTTTGTGCTCGCCATCTTCAAGACGAAGTTGGAACAATCTCAGACCTTCTTTTCATTCTCCTTTTCCCTCTCTCCCTCTGTGCATCTTTCCTTCTCTCTGGTTCTCTGAGTCGGTGGCGCATTATCAAGCAGATTAGTTCAGTGTGAAGGGTGTTTTAGAATGGGCGTGTTCCTTTGTTGTTTTGCAAGGGTGGTTTCTACTTCTCTCTCTCTCACACACAAGCACACTCTCCTCACCACACAAGCACACACCACACACACACACACCACACACACACACAACACACACACACACACACACACACACACACACACACACACACACACACACACACACACACACACTCACACACACACACACACACACTCACTCACTCACTCACTCACTCACTCACTCACTCACTCACTCACTCACTCACTCACTCACTCACTCACTCACTCACTCACTCACTCACTCACTCACTCACTCACTCCTCACTCACTCTCTTTCTCTCTCTCTCTCTCCCTACGCACCTGCACGGGGACTGAAATGCAGCGGAAGGATCAGCAAAGGCGCCACCAAGTACAGCTGAGTGTCGACGCAAGTGTACCAGCATTGGTCCATACACTGGAAAGGAAAATTATAAGCTTAATAATTAACCGTAATATTCATACATACATACATACACATACATATTTTTTTTCTTTTCTTTCTTTCTTTTTTCCAGCTAAAAGGAATGCCAATACACCGATTAAATAATGATAGCAATGACAACAGCAACAACAGCAACAATGACAATGCAAACAATGATAACAATAACACTGATACTCATAACAAAACAATCTAAATACAACACACACACATACCTGATACCGAGGCCCTGAGGACACCGGCGTGAAGAAATTACTGACGAAGAGGGCGTCCCTCCACCAGAACTTCGCACAGCTGGCCTGTATCGAGGGGATGACGTCATGGGCATAAGGACCCGTCACGACGTGTTCCAAGAGGCTGGCCATGAACAGGCAGACGAGGACGATCGCTGCATCAGTCTGGGGGGGCGGGGGAGTGAGAGGTAGGGTAAAGGGAGGGGAAGAGAGAGAGAGGAAGAGAGGGAGGGAGGGAGAGAGAGAGAAAGAGAAAGAGAAAGAGAAAGAGAGAAAGAGAAAGAGAAAGAGAGAGAGAGAGAGAGAGAGAGAGAGAGAGAGAGAGAGAGAGAGAGAGAGAGAGAGAGAGAGAGAGAGAGAGAGAGAGAGAGTGAGGGGAAGTCAGGGAGGAGAGGAGTCATCATCATTCTAAATCATTATTCTAACTCTTTTTCATTATTTCATGATATTCTTTTATTCATACATCCGTCAAAACAATAACTTGAAATCTAAGAATGTAATATAATAAATACAATCAACAACTAAACCAAACCAAACGTAAAAAAATAAAATCCAACACTAAAAAAACTACAGTTCATTCTTACCTCAACAACCTGTGGACAACATACAGAATTACGTTAAATTTCCCCGTTCTTTTAACTTCACTCAGCACGCCATTAGCTACAAGAAGACCGGACACGAAGAAGAAGGAGTCGACACAAAGGTTTCCATTGGCGATCACTTGGAAGAGTATCCCCTGCACTTTCTGGCGGAGCGAAAGAAAACGGGAAGAAACACGATGTCATACAAACCCGATTCAAAAGTTGTAGCCAATGGAATGTGGAGGAAGGAGAAGGAATATGACGGAATTAAGTTGTAATAAGTGAAAAGAAGGAGAGAGAAGAAATATGCTGGTATTAAAACGGGTTGTTGCTAGTGGAATAGGAAGGAAGGAAAGACAAGGAAACACCGATATTCAAAACAAGTTGAAGCCAAAGACATAGGAAGGGAAAAAGAAGAAATATACTAGAATTAAAACAAGTTAAAACTAATGGAATGGAAAGGAAAGAAAAGGGAGGAATATATTGGTAATCATATGAGTCGTAGCGAATAAAACAGAAAGGAACATATTAGTGTCAAAACTTCTGGTAAATGAAATAGGAAAGGAGAACATACGAGTATAAACGCGAGTTGTAACCAACAGAACACGAAAGGAGAGTAAAAATAGATACCAGTGTTAAGACGTGTTGTAGCCACTAGAATAGAAGAGAGAATAAATACGGTGGTATTAAGAGGAAGGAAGGAGAGAGAGGGAACACACTGTGCCAATGGAATGAGAAAGACTGAGTAGGAACATACAGGTGTTAAAACGAGTTTGTAACCAATGGCATAGGAAGGTAGGAGGAAAAATGGTATAAAAGAGGTCGTAGCTAATTGAACAGGAAAGGAGAGAGAGGGAAGAGGCTGGTTATTAAGAGTTGTAATAGCTGAAATGGAGAGATTACGACTGTTTGGAAACCATTGAAGATGAAAGTGCGTATTCGAGGTGCGAGTGGGAGAGATAACAAGATATGGTGTAAGGTAATCTATGAAAGGTTATCTTGATAAGACTGTTCTTGTTGAAGGGATGGATGACTATCATTAATGACATAATATTTAAGTGCTGTAGTTCATAACAGAGATCTGACTTCCTAGCAGTTTTCTAATATACCGTTTTTAAGCTCTATTCAAATCTCAAGTCATTATTTTATTAATATATATATAATATATATATATATATATATATATATATAACTACTGTATTTTCTATTATAGATACGTTTTCAGAATTACTCTCAAGCCCTTTACTTCCAAAAGAAGTTTCCAAATTTGAAACAAAGACGAAGCCGCAGTTGGTGATGGCATTCGAACAAGCATCGCCTACTACCAATTCCTGCAGTGAATAGAGTCGACTATAAATGAAGGTATCCGCGTCCACAGAGGATCCGACTCTTATATTTATCAAAGTTTTAGTCAATTCAAACGTTTATCTTTAAATGAGCATCGATAATTTCCACGTTAACGCACTTTAAATCACGACTGAAGTGCATTAGATTAAAGGTATCGATATTTACATTATAGATGAAAGCTTAAATTAACAAAATATTGATAAACGCAATTGGTTAGAGATTCCCTTTGGACGCCCATACTTTCAATTGTTTTTCTCTCTCTTCTCTCTCTCTCTCTTCTCTTTTTTTTTTTTTTTTTTTTTTTTTTTTTTTTTTTTGGGGGGGGGGTGTGTAATAGACGTTGGCGAACGTACCTTTGCAGCGCCCAAGAGGTTGGTTGTACTGGTGAGGTTGTAGACATACTGATGCCCAAGAACGACCCACGTCATGGACAGTACTCTGAGGAATTTAAAAGGGTTAGTTTGACACTGAAGACCTGTTTGTTGCGTCTGGGTTTGGGTTTAAACGTGTTTTAAAGGGTTATCTTTTAAAAAGGTACTGAAAGCAACATGTCTAGTGAAAATAGTGAATTCCTCAACTAAAAATGTGTAATCAGATTCAAAACAAAAATTAATTCAAGTGCACGTCAGTGCATACACATTGATATATGTATACGTTCATATGCATACACGCATACAACATAACACAGTCTAAAATGCATAGATAGATCAATGCATATATACATACCATACTACTTTGAACGTGTATAAATATACATACATACATACATATGTGTGTGTGTGTGTGTACGCATGTATTTATGTATATGTATATGTATATGTATATATAATACATATATGTATATATACATATATGTATATATATATATATATATATATATATATATATATATATAATAATATAATATATATATACATATATGTATATATATATATATATATATGTTATATATAGGTACATATATATAGATAGATAGGTACATACATGCATATACATATACATACCTACACATAATATGGAGTATAATATATATAAACACGAATTTCCTTTCCCATAATCGCCTTCCCAAAATAGCACCCCCTCCCCCTCCCTCTCCCCCCCACCCCCACCGAGCGCGTCCTTCGAGCCAACCTGACGGAGGTCGCTTCTTGACCTTATACCAGAGGTCAAGGAAGGTCGCGGCTGCCAAGATGCCGAGGAGGACGGCCAAGGCTGATCTGTGGAAAGTGATAAGGAGAGTATTAGTATATTTTTTGGTTTAATTACCTGTTTATGTGTTTGTTTGTTTGTTTATCAATATATATATCCATCCATTATTTTGTTAATTTATCTATCTCTACATCTATCTACCTATTTATGCATTTATTCATCTATTTATTCATCTATTCATATATTTTTGGTTGTGATACTGATATTAGGTATTTTCAGCAGTTGCATGTATGTTTGAAAGTGTTCGACTGTGTATGTACATGTCTGTATATGTGCGTGTGGACGTGTGCAATTTATACATGTCTATATATAGTGTATGTGTGTGTGTAATAGCTTATGCATGTACACGTAGGTATGTGTGTAATTAAAAGTGAGTGTTCGTGTGTGTTCGCGTTTGTATGTGTGTATGTCTGTCTTTGTACTCTGATACCTGTACCCCTATGTGCATGTGTGTATGCAAATCTGTTCAAGACCGTGAACGTGTACGGCACCAATATTGCTTCCACACAAACAGGCTGTTCCATATTCACTGACATCATAGCAATGGCAGCTGGTGAAATGAACAGTTTCAGAATCTGCCCGAGACTCGTCTGCCAAAAAAATGAACAGTTCAATTGAATATTTTCAAGTTATCGTATTTTGAACAGATATCGCGAATCGTCACTTTACATTAATTTTGCGGTTTGAGTAATCCACTACATTTTTACTCATACCGTACTATAACAATAACTAAAGTACAAATTAGCCATAAAAACCAATATTTGGCTTTTACAACAAACAATATTTTTTGGACTCTTGTAATTATCATTTTCTTTGCCTTTGATAACAATAAAATTCTATAACAATGCAACTACGGTTTGGCTCCTATAACAATTAAACAATTTGTGGATTCTTCAACAATCAAAACTAATCCATCAAAATCCAGTATAACATAACAGATTTAAGCTGATTTGTTTTTAACAAAATCTGGAGACAAAATAGGAGGCAACATTGTTAATAACTGCCTGCTTTGATTTCTAATAAAGTTGCTATATAGTTTGATATGAATTGTATATTCCAGAAAAAAATATATATATTTCTTGTCAAGTATGTGGTTGAGAAACATAAATGGGAGTGATAATATATTGGTAGATGAATGAAATGCAAATAGAAGAAATAAAAAAATTACATATATAAATATTTCCATTTAGATAAGCAAGATAAATAGAGGAACTTGCAATCAAAACACACTAACAAGCAAACATACAAACACACACACAAGCACACACAAACATACATACACACACAAACAAACATACAAACACACAAGCACACCCAAACAAACAAACATACAAACACCCAAACACACAAACAAACATACACACACACAATCAAACAAACAGACAAACAAAGAAATACAAGGCACCTGCAAATCCTGTTGAGAACACACGTCAGGAATACAGGTGTCATACCTCGCCACACCAAACATGACAGGTGTCACAGTGCCTGACACAGCGCCCAGCAGGGGTGTCATGTCATGCGGGGCAGCTCCGTTTTCTTTGCCATGACCTTTGGCTGACCTTGAAATGGGAATTAATATTAGTGACATAAACTTAATTGATAGAATTATCAATTTTTATTATATTTGTATTATTGTTATTGTTATGTTTCTATTTTTATTATCATATCTGATTTTTATCATTATCATATTTATGTTTCTATTCTTATAGTATCTATGTTCTTATCTTATCAAATTTATATTATTATTACATTTATCTTATTATGTACATGTCATTGATATTATATACTTGTATTTTATCATTGTTTATATTTGCTTATTTTTAAATCTGTGGTATTCTTGATATTTTAGAAATCGAGAAGTTTATGATGAAAATATGTTTAATCAGTGATAAGACTCCTAAGAACTGCTCTTATCAACGTCACACTCAACATCAATTATACAAACATAACCTCATCCAAAGCATTCACCCAGCTCACCCGCATCCACCCTCTTCACCAGACGACGAACCCACCCAGCATCCGCAATCCACTTACGAGTATGCGATGCTGCAAAATTTCCCCCTCGCTCCTCCTGGCTCCCGAGATTGCACGCTGACGCACTCATCGAAGACGCCGGTTGCACGAAGACCCACGGAGAGGAATCCGTCAGGGTACTTCCCCCAGGAGTCTATCACTGGGGAGAGGGGGCGGGAGGGTGGAGGGGAGAGGAGGGGGGGAGAGGGGAGAGGAGAGGGGAGAGAAGGGAGAGGGAGAGAGGGGAGAGAGAGGGAGAGAGGGGGAGGAGAGAGGGAGAGGGGGAAGGAGAGGGAGAGGAGGGGGAAAGGAGAGGGAGAGGAGAGAGGGTGAGAGGGGAGAAGGGAGAGGGAGAGGAGAAGGGAGAAGGGAGAGGAGAGGGAGAGGGAGAGGGAGAGAGGGAGAGGGAGAGGGGAGAGGGTCAGGGAGAGGGAGAGAGGGAGAGGAGAGGGAGAGGGAGAGGGGAAAGAAGGGGAGAAGAGGAAGAGGGGGAGGGAGGGGAGAGGGAGAGGGAGAGGAGGAGAGGGGAGAGGGAGAGGGGGGGAAGGGGAGGGGAGGGAGAAGGTAGAGAGAGAGGGAGAGAGGGGGAGGGAGAGGGAGAGGGGAGAGGAGGGAGGGAGAGGAGAAGAGGAGGAAGAGGGATTATGGAGGGGGGAGGAGGGAGGAATGGAGAGAGAGGGGGAGAGGGCGTGGAGAGGGGTAGGAAGAGGAAGGGAGATTGGAAAGAGTGAGAGAGAGAGCAATAGGGAAGAGAAAAAAAAGAGAAGGCGTGAGAGAGGGTAGGAAGAGGAGGGGAGATTTGGAAAGAGTGAGAGAGAGAGAGAGAGAGAGAGAGAGAGAGAGAGAGAGAGAGAGAGAGAGAGAGAGAAGAGAGAGAGAGAGAGAGAGAGAGAGAGAGAGAGAGAGAAGAGAAGAAGAAGAAGAAGAAGAAGAAGAAGAAGAAGAAGAAGAAGAAGAAGAAGAAGAAGAAGAAGAAGAAGATGGAAGGCAGAGAGTGAGAGATAGAGATAGGAAGATTGATAAATAGACAGATAGAGGGAGAGAGATAGATGGATAGAGAGATAGTTACATATAGAGAGAAATGAAAGAGATAAAGTAAGAAGACAAAAAGACAAAGAAAGAAAAAGAGGAAACAAAAAAACAGACAATAATAGTAATAATAATAATAATAATAATAATAAAAATAAACAAAATAAATCAAATAGAAAGACCAGATTATTCCCCCAAAAATAAAGAACCACATATCTCTCTCTCTCACATACACATCACACCACACTCACACTCACTCACTCCTCACTCACAACACTCACTTCACACACTCACACACACGCACGCCACGCACGCACCCGCACGCACACGCACCACACACGCACACACACACACACAAATATCACTAACTCTGAACCGGCCCACGAGGAACTGTGATCTGCAAGCGAGAGAAGCATCGCCTGCAAAGCGAGGCCACAGGGGGAGGTTGCATCCACAAGCACGGGCAGGTAGAAGGACCAAGCGCTTGGAATGCTTGCTAATTCTGATGGGCTTCGATTGCCTGCAACGAGAAAAAGGGAGAAAATAAAACTCTTCTCTCTCTCTCTCTCTTCCTTATCTTTATCTCTCTCGTTCTTCTCTTTCTTTCTTTCTCTCTCTCTCTCTCTTTTCTCTTTCTTTCTCTCTCTCTCTATATATATATATATATATATGTATGTATGTATTATGTATATAGTGTGGTGTGTAAAGATTATGTGGAAGGTTATAAACAGTGTGAAAGAATATCCATGCAGGTGTATGTTCATGACTAAAAAAAAGTTTTGGTTTTGGAAGAAATCAAGGTCATGGTCATGAACCTGCAATAGGATCTTACAAGAATCTTTACAACTACGAATAAATGGTCTATTAAAATTGAGACATTAATATCCTTAAAAAATGCGGTAAACGAATAATTCGATATTTTCTTTTTTTCTTTCCATTCTCTTTTCTTTCTCTTCCTTCTTTTTCCTTTTCTCTTTCCTTCGCTGTTCTTTCCTTTCTTTCCTCACACATACAGGGCTTGCGTTCTCTCGAGTGCTTTACACCACTTGCCGTAGAAAGAGCTCACACCCACAAAAAAGCATTATGTTTATGAATACTCATTTACTAACACTATTTCCGTTCCTTCACTTCGTTGGAAATTCTTCCTAAATCAATAACATCGAAAAATCAATCAAATGAATCCGGAAAATACTACATATTATTTATAAGATATACTTCTCTCTCTCTCCCTTTCCTCCCCTCCCCTCCTCCTCTCTCTCCCATTCCCACTAATCTCTCTCTCTCTTCTTCCTCTCTCCCCCTACCTCCCCTCCTCCTGCTCTCTCTCTCCCCCTCTCGGCCCTTCCCCCTCCCTCTCTCTCTCTCCCTCCCGTCTTTCTTTCTCTCTCTCTCTCTCCTCGTCCGTCTTTTCTTCTCCCTCTCTCTCTCTCTCTCTCCTCTCTCTCTCTCCCTCCTCCCTCCCCCCCCCTCTCTCTCTCTCTCTCCTCTCCTCTCTTTCCCTCTCCCTCCCCTCCTCCTCTCTCTCTCTCTTCCTCCTCTCCCTCTCCTCTCTCTCCCTCCTCCTCCTCCCCCCTCTCCTCTCTCTCTCTCTCTCTCCTTCCTCTCTCTCTTTCTCTCCGCCCTCCTCCCTCCCCTCCTCTCTCTTCCCCCTCCCTCTTCCGCTCTCCCTCCCTCTCTCCCGACTTTTGAGAGCGGTTCGTCTCACTGATTCTAAAGTATTTTATTATCCGATACAGTCAAGCAACGGGATATTCGCTTATCTCTGCTATCAACGTCGAAAAGAGGTTAAGTATCTGGGATTATCTGTAGCGCAATAAAATGATACTAGAAGTGAGTGGTGTGTGTGTGTGTTGATGTGTGTGTGTGTGTGTGTGTGTTGATGTGTGGTGTGTGTGTGTGTGCGTGTGTGTGTGTGTGTGTGTGTGTGTGTGTGTGTGTGTGTGTGTGTGTGTGTGTGTGTGTGTGTGTGTGTGTGTGTGTGTGTGTGTGTGTGTGTGTGTGTGTGTGTGTGTGTGTGTGTGTGCGTGCGTGCGTGTGTGCGTGCGTGTGTCTGTTGATGTTGATGTAGTTCAAATCGTACACTAGGCCTTAATCAGATAACGTAATCTTTAGATACGAAGACAAGTAAGTTATCTCAACATCCCCGTTATCCCATTACAATGCAGTTAACTATAAACGAAGTGGATGTCTTGAGATTTCTGTATCCTTTATCCCTTTTATCCTTTATCCCTTTTATCCGTTATCCCTTTTATCCGTTATCCCTTTTATTCGTTATCCCTTTTATCCGTTATCCCTTTTATCCGTTATCTTTTAATCCCTTTTATCCGTTATCCCTTTTATCCGTTATCCCTTTTCACTTCGGAAATCCTGCACATCCTACCAGGAAATCCGAATAAAAATCTGGAAATCCTCGAGAAATCCTCAGGAAATCCGGGAATCTCCAGGAAATCACAAGAATCTCGAACCTTTTACAAAATCCTGGTAATAGCAATAAAGAAAAAAAAATAAAGTGTTCAGTACCCGGTCTTCAAATAATGCCTTAATTCCGTGTCATGTCTAAGATGCCTTTTTTCACCCTTCAAACATTTTAAAAATCGGACAAGTGGATCTTTTGGAAATAATTGAAATGGTTTCGTAATCATATGCTTTGTGATCAAGCGCTTTGATTGACCTGTTGGGTACACAGAGATTTTTCAGTACCTACCAGCATCAAAAGCAGACTTTAATCAAAATGAAAAAAAAGAAAGAAAGAAAAAAAAAGACAGAGAGCTTTTAGGCACACACAGTTTTATTCCCAGTACCTACAAGTATTTTAAAAAAAGCTTTAATCAAAATGAAACAAAAATGCCGGATAAATGATTACGCACAAGTCAAGCAATAAGGTTTAATCCCCTAGTGTCTATTCCCGCATTTATTTTATTTTATTTATTTTTATTATTATTATTATTTTTTTTTTTTTTTGAAACACGATTGCTCTTTTTAAAATGCTCAAATTCCCAAGTAACTGCAGCTCATTCTGGGTGTGAGTTGATTTAAATGAGACTCAAATAATTAATCACGAGGTTTATCAATGACATTAAGATGAAAAACAAAAAATCTATTTTGTTTTTTGTTTTTGTTTTAAGGGTTACAAGGACCTTAAGCAGGGTCATGTTTTATGGTAAAGTAGTGCATCTCATGTGGAGCCCGTAGGGTAATAACTGATAACAGCTTACTTTTTGAAACATTTACGATGATTTGATGGTTTTCAACGCCTTCGAAAACTTAGGAAATCCCTCGAAATCCTTTAATCCCTGACAAATCTGTCTGGAAGGAAATCCCGGTGAAATACTCTGGAATTTCGGAAATCCCAGAAATCTCGTACGCTAAATCTGGGTAGTGAACTTTTTTTTCTTACAAACCAAATATAGACCTACCCGATTTCCCGCCGAGATGTGCCGAAGCAACGCTCAGATTTGCCACAAAATCTTGAACTCTCAGATTTCCCTCCACATAGCAACACCAGTCACGCTTCCTCGGTACAGAACGCACACCACTGCAATAAGAGCTTCTGCATTCTCCCGCTGCAACGACGCAACACCCAAACACCATTACACAGAGTCCTACCGAGTTCATGATAGGTGTCTGTGTATCACTTATAAGGCGGCGAGTGTAAGTAATTTGGGCGCTGTGTGTCACTCAAACAACCTTTCGATTTCCCTTCAATGCTCATGAGTTGTCTTTCCATCCCTTCTTATCTGCTGCTCGTGCGGTCTTATCTGATTAATTGAACAAGGTATGCATTTGATTGCTGTGATGATCGTACCCTTGAGTTCAGTCTTCCTTTAACGTGTGTGTATATATATATATTATATATATATATATATATAGTATATATATATATATATATATATATGTAGGGATGTACGGGTATGTGTGTGTGTTTGCACATACACATGTACACAACACACGACGCACGCGCACACAGAACACACACACACACACACACACACACACACGAAACACACACACCACACCACACACACAGCACACACACACACACACACACACACACACACACACACACACACACACACACACGAACACACACACACACACAGACACACACACACACACACACACACACACACACACACACACACACACACACACACACACACACACACACACACACACACACACACGCACGAACGCACGCGCACCCACACACACACACACAACACATGAACACATTTATTCCATTTCGTGTTATTATTCTCCTTATTTTTCCTCTTCCTTCTTTTCATCTTCTTTCTTCCACTTCCTCCTCCTCCTCCTTTTTTCTTCATGGAAAAAACAAAAGCAAAAAAAAGCAAAAACGAAAAAGAAAATAATCTAAATTTATAATCGATAATAAATTATACTTACGTGAAATTATCCTGTAATTAAAATAACCGTATATTCTCCTTCAAACTCTTACACTTCTTTAGTAAAACTATTCAAGCAAGCGTCTTGTATTAAAACGTTTAATGGGTTGTTACGTTTAAGCACTAGTAAC